AAACCTGCTCTAAAGTCTGTTCATGCACTCCTTAGTCACGCTCTTTATTTTTTCTCTAAAATTCACCCAGCCTGCCTCCCTCCTTTCCCTCTTTTCTCGGGTTTCATTAGCAGGAGTAGCAGCGGTTGCAGATTGTTTGCAATTAATAAATCCTCACACCATTAAATAAAATGCGCCTGTCTCTGTGTGTATATTTATGTGTATGAATGTGTTTTTCTGGGTGTATTTCAAGAGCACTAATGGCCAGATGATAGCGCTGCGCAGGATATTTGTACGACCGGCCAGGGCAGGCCAGGGGGGAAATGGGCAATGGGGGGAAATGGGTACTGGAGGGAGGGTTGGGAGGGCATGGGTCAAGTGTGTGTTGATGCAAAGGAGAGTCACATTAGTGACAAGATGAGCTAATGCGCTGCGTGATCACCCCCTTTGGCTTAATAGAATAACTTGGAATGCCTTTAAGGATTTGCGTATTCGGTGTGTGTATCTCTCTGTATGATTATATGTGTGACTGTAAATCATTTAACACTTATGTGTCTGTGTGTGGGGGGCTATCTCATTACCATTTGCTGGGATGACAGAGGAAGGCTGGTTAACATCATTAGGGGGCCAGGCTTGTCGGTGTAATGAGGTATATAAAGCCTCTACTGAATTTGCTTTGGAGTTGCTTGTGAGAAATGGAGATAAGGACAAAGAGGGTGATGAGGAGGAGAGGAGAGGAGAGGAGAGGAGAGGAGAGGAGAGGTTTCAGGAACCAAAGCTGGTCTTATTTTAACCAACTCCATGGGTTTTAAAACTGCCATTCAATAGCAGAGATCATAGTCTTACTTCTATACCCACTGCTCTGTGAGCATAGACTTTGTGATTCTGTCCCAGCTGAAAGATGACCTATGAGAAATAAATCTGAGATAAAAACCTTTGCGGTTTTTATGTTGCCTGTTTAAAATCAATGAAGCAAATTAAATGACAAGTTAATGAAATTAAATAAAAATACACCAAATTCTCTAGCAATGATTTTCAGTGTCAGTTTGACTCATTTTAGTTCACAAAGTGTGTTTATTACTTCATATCTAAAGTATTAGAAATCAATGTGTAATGGTTGGTGGAATCATACATATACAAATTATGTTATTTCAAGGATGTCATTTTGCCTTTTATAATGACAAATAGCATTATCTACTCGGGCAGAAGTGTAGGTTATTTAAAATGGACTCTTTATACATTATTTATTCATGAACTGCTTGTCACCAAAGCAAAAGGTAGAACGAAAGCATCCAACAGCATTTTGATAAGTACAGGCACAAAAAACTGCTTTCAAGTCTGGTTTTTAACATACCTATGAAAATCCTCCATCCTCAACACAGAGGCGGAGCATCCGACTGGCTTTGATCCTTCCACATACTTTCAAAACACACTGATCCGGCTGAGCACAGGTTGAATGAAGTTCCACTTATTTCAATGCCCACAAAGATGATTTTCATGGTCCTTAGGATACAGCATCATCCCTCTTTTTACCCCTCATCCTCAGATAACCCTATTCTAGCAAAGTAATTATGACCAAAGTCTGGAGGAAGATGTGTAGGAGTGACAGAGGAAGGGATAGAGGGAAAGGGAAGGAACAGAGAGACTACAGTGTTTGGTCATTTAGTCCTCAATATCATCCTCCAGCTCCCCTGCCGAGCGTACTGCAAAACACACATCAAAAGGAGAGGTGTACACGCATGCATCCACACCTGCAGTGCCCTTAGATGATGCTTGCTTGCTTGAAGTAAAAGAGTTCCACGTACTGGACTCAAATAGGATTCTTTAAAAGGATGAAAGGCACCCAACTAGAAATCAATCTCAGCAGCAGGACTTCATAAACACAGGTGTTTATGTATGTGTGCTGCACACAATTGGTCTCAGAAGCACCCTATCAGTTTTGCCTCATTTATATGCTGAGTGTCAATATGTTTTCTCAGAACATCAGCAACAAGACAACTTTCCTCACTTTCTTTACCCCACATACCATCCAACCAGACAGTCAAAAACAATCTATTAGTTCCTCACTCTGTCTGTTTGCCTCTCTGTCTAACAGGAATAATATACACATCAAGACAGAATGCTTCTGTACAGCCAATCCTCTGGCAATCAGTCTACTCACCAGCATATCTGTGGCACGAAGGTAGTGTTTGCTCGCCATGTAGGTCTCCAGCCGCTGAGGCACCTGCTTGATGCTTTCAATTTCATCCAGCAGCTGGAGGACATGCTTGTGCTCAATGCCTTCAATCCACAGCTTCCTCAGCTCGTCCCTTTTGCAGTGAAGAAGCATCTTACAGGAGAGGAGGTTCTCCTTAACCTGCAGGGCAGAGCGAGTTGAAGTCATGACACCGAGCCTGGTCCTGAGGCACAGTTTAGTTACTGTAGTTCTTCAGAATAAAAGCATTTTAGAGGTGTGGCACAAACTGTTTCAGATAAGTAATTCAGTTTAATACTCAGGATTGTCAGCGTTTATGACTTATTTGGTTATTAAGAGATTGGGCGACAGCAAAATACCTAATAACAAACAATATTTCAACTTAATTACATTTCCAACTTAATTAAAATTAACTCAGTGTAGGGTATCTGAAAAGTTTGTGTTTTCACTGGCAGATTGAACCTCGGGTTTAAGATAGGAACCATGCTGGAGGTTTTTCACAAACATTTTTCAGATAAGACATTTTGACAAGTCACAGTAAGAAAAACAAAGATGTAAATTGGTGATGGTTGAATTCCACTGAGCTGCTTTGGTTTCAAGGACCAGGTAGCTGCTGGTTTACTGTCACATGCTTCTGGGAATCTTTATTATTGTTAATGATATTTCAACCCCTGTGCTTTTCCTACTACGACAAGGCAAATATCTGATCTAAAAAGTTAAGAGACCCTTTTAGTGAATCAAGAGAGTAACACTTTTTCAACCCTTCTGGTTCATTTGAGCCATGTTTTGAATCAAACTCTGCTTTCTACCTGTTTGATCTTGTTGCGGGAGCTGGTGATGCGCTCTGTGATGCTCTGGTAGGTCCTGATGGCAGTGGTGAGCTCTGCATAATGCTGAACAATCAGCTCGTCGAGATCCCTGTCACATGTTTCAAAGGCCTCTTCCAGACGCCCCTTCTCCGTCTCCCTGTCCTCCACATCGTCGCTGCTGGACAGTGTCCTGCATCAGGGAGAAGAGGATAAGAAGAAGAAGTGGGACTCAATCTAAAAACTAAGTGAACATGATATGTAAGGATGAGGTTCATCAGTACAGTACAACACTTTGGATGGCATCACACAGTGCAGGTTACATGACAACATGAACAGGTAGGATCATGCAATAACAAATGGATGAAACAGCAGCATTATTGGTGGTGTCGTTCAATAATGAATGTTTTTACAAACTTAACAGATATCACTTGTTTGATGCTCCCAGATGCAAAACAGTACCTTTGTATTTACTTCTATGTAGTTCAAATAGCAAACTAGAACTGAGAAGTTTGGATCGCATAATTCATGGTCACTTTCCGTTTCATAATTCCAGGCAGCATTTCAAACCGTTAGTGACTTAGAGTGATGAATAGATCCATGTCCGGACACAATCAACAAAACATTTGTTCTACATTACAATAGTTTTATTGCAGCTGTTGCTAAGCGACACCTCTCAAGTATTTGAGTTTATCATCAAACGACCAATAATTGAGCTAATTAATAAGACACACCTCGTGACCAAGTGAGATTTAACAGTTTTCTTCTTCTCAATGTGGAAATAAAGCTAATGCTATCATTAACCGACATGAGATAAGGGTATCAAACACTAAACGTGCTTTCATTTCTTTCATATACTTGACAGGACAGGAAGGATGAAGCTAACTTTTAGCATAAGAGCTAGCTGACATTTCGTCTCCGTGTCGAAATGCGACAACACTTAACCGGCTGTCCGACCTGTCGCAGCCGTGTTAGCTGTCGTAGAGGAAGCAAAGCTCACCTTATGACCGAGATGAGGAGACCAGAGGGGTCTTTGTTTTTGCTAACAGCACTCCTGTACCTCCCTGTGTCAGCTGCCATCTTTGCTCCAGCTGCGGCACCCAAACAGGAAGTGAGAAGCGCGAGGTTACACCGCGGAACTCTGGGAGTTGTGGTTTAAGGAGGAGGAGCGTCACTCTGCAGCGGTGATGCACTTTTACTGTGACTGCTGCAGCCACAGACGTGAGGGGCCTGGTCTGAATCTCTGAATACAGTGTTATAGATAATAGATCCGTGTTAAAACAGCAATTTAACTAAAAACGTGCACATTATAGAATCATAAGTCTGTATGTGTAGGATACGGTGGCCCTGGAGTACAAATCATGACATCAAATCCCAAAACCATCCAAAATAAAAACAATACATCCAAAAGCAGATAAGAAAACATAATGGTGAATAAGAAGGAGGATAATGAAACACAACAGCAAATGAAAAAAGAAAACACAACTGCGAATAAAAAAAACAAATCGCAAAATACATTTTGTCAGCATTTCACACATCTGCTATCTGAGACAATTCCTGTTGAGAGTGTAAGTGTCAATGTTGTTTTATTTTGTTATTTGTGATTTGCACATCTTGGCCACCGTAGTATGACTATTTCTTATTACAGGCCTATGGAAATAGAAATCATTTCAAAATATTCCATTTCTCATTGGTCATCCTCAAGAACAGAGATCTGTCTCATCTGGATGCTAAATTGTTTGCCTCAAGCATGTGGTGCACTATGTTGTATTGTGACACAAATTCATAGAAGTTCTATAATGACGATATGTCAGTGTAATGCTGTAATGTTTTACATGCAACACAAATATCAATAGAAAAGGGGTTTTAACTGTAACACTTCCAGTCCTGAGACAGTTAAAGCCAAGGTGGAGCAGAGGAGAAGGGAGAGAAAGAGTGCGTGTCAGTGAGTTAATAGCCTCCCCCATTTGGAACATATAGTGTTGGATTTGGCGGGGCTCTCCTGTGCTGTATCTCTGACAATCTCTGCTGTACCGATGAGAATGAGCGAGGGCATTGATTCTGGAGCAAAAAGAGGTCGATTCCCAGCAGCCCGGGCCCTGATTGATGCACTGGTGGACCGGGGAGATAACATTGTGGGTGATCTTTGTGTCTCTCCCCCCCAAAAATAAAAAAAAGAGAAATGGAACAATCCCTGTGTCATGCAGGAGCCACAGTTTTTCTTTTGACGGCACCTATAGCTTCCCAGGCCCAAGTTTAATTTTGAAGTTCTTATCGCCTCGCAGCCTCCAGCCCGTGTCCCATCAGTCCAACTAATCTACTGTGATTCTTTCACACAGCACCAAGGTTATTTTCTTCTTGCTGACGCGTGTTTGGACACTAAACTATAGCTTTGACTGACTGGCCTGTATGTGGAGCATTAAGGGCAATCAGGACTTTGTGAATGCAGATGCTGTATCTCAATTACTTAGTCTTCAATGAAGAAATTCTGACTTTTACAGCATTTTGATTAATGGCGCAGCTACTTTACCAAATTAAAGTTGCACAAAGTTTCAGAACACAATTTGAAACAGCAGATGATATTAATTAAGATGGAGTTCTATTAGCAAAAGTAAACTTTTAAACAGGTGCTTTCCCTCAGATAGGGTTCTCATGATCATTAAATAATTGATGATCTTCGTCTTAGGAACATTTTTTGATGTCATTTTGAGGTTGTGATTAATTGAGTGAGTCACTGTGGATATATTCTAATAGCTTTAATAATTATTGTCAGAGAAATACAACAGAAAGATAAAAAGATTGTGTAAACACAGTATTTTAACCTCTCCAGTAACACAAACTTTGGAAACTTGTTACAACATTTTTAATCAAACAGTTACTTTTTATGTTACAATGAGAACATTTGCCTTCTAGGAAAAGGCTGGGGACTCAAACAGTGTGATGCTGTAACAATTAGTCACTAATTGTTGGAATTATATTTAGAAGTATCAATTGGCTCTCAAAAAATGTTATAAATAGGAATAAATAACAGAATTACATTTTAAAATATGGGTGGGGTGGTTTGAGCCAAGGTGAAGGTTGGAAAATGTTGTAAATGTAACTTTTTATATAAAAGCATAAATAAACATATAACTACACAAGTATGTATGTATATGGGTAAAGATATGTGTGCAAATGGAAATCAGTATGTATGCTAGTGTAGTCTACTATCACATTTACGCAAGGATGTGTTTGCATGGATATTATAATCCACACATTGATCTTTATTTTAATCTTTGTTGTAAAAATAGCGATTAGGTCATTATGGGAATTATTATTCAGTTTCTTGTTTGTGTCACTTTCACCTTTTTAATAAAAAAAACGTCTCCTCTTGGTGATTGTGAAAAACTAATATTCTACTTGTTTCCATGGAAATGTGTTTAAGGGTAACATCAGAGCATTGAATCTACTATTTACCTTATGGTTTTTATCACCTCATCTGTAACCGGATCACACAGAACACATGTCTTGTTTGTGCATCTCACCTGCGTTAGGAAACAGGACCTCCAGACTCTGTTTATACTCCAATTTTCACCACGTTCCTTTTACAATGATTCAGCTGGTATCTATACAGCTCTCAAATTTGTAGAAACGACACAGAGAGAATAAAACAAGATGATTTATGGGTGTCTCAAGGCAAAAGTAAAACTTCAAGCCACAAAGCAACATCGATAAAGTTTGAGTGGACAAAACAACATGAGAAAACATACATCAGCTGTTAAACTATTGTTCAATTTGACCACATTTATGTCTTGTACTGGAGAGCCTCATCCTGTATGACAAGATGTTATCTTTGAGTTGTTTTGAGGAAGCTGTTTTCTCAGCCAACAAAATCGAATTTCTTTTTGCGCCACAGGGAATTCTAAAGCTACAATTGTCAACAGATTCACCTAATTGTGTAAAAAAATATAAATAAGATCATGGACAGCAATGATGCAAATTATTTTCACATTATTACAAGTGGCAGTATCATATGAGAGAAATGCACAGGGACACTCAGTTTGCAGCAATCCTCACTCCCATCACCAGATCACCCAGCAGTGTAATTGCTTTCAACGTCAGGTTTAATAATTCTCCTGTTTACTTTAATACAGCTGTCATAAACAACAAGCAGGGCCCTGCCATTCATTAGTCTCTCTGTTCTATAAGCACTGTATTCAATACAGCCTGAGGCGCTTTCAAAGACTTCCCTCAGGGCACTGGTGCACAATCTAGCGCTTTATTGCGTAATCTTTTCACAGTAGAGGTGAAGGCAAACCCCTTGGGAGACTGTGTCCATGACAATGGGATAAAATATGATTTGTCTGAATGGGTACACATCATCTCAGAGAACAAAAGAAAATGAAGATTTTTTAAAACTCAGGATCTGAGAAAATACTGTGTGTATTTTACTGTTATGAATGATTACACCTACATGAATACATCAAAATACATATAGTGTAGTCTGTTGAGTTTTCTCCAGGTATAACTCATGTCACCGTACTCCCAGTGACTGAAATCCTCTGTATGTAATTCATTATAAAGTTCTGCATCAGATACAGCTACGTGTTTCATTTTGCTCATATTTGCTAGCCTTAGTTTGTTATTAGAATGTGTATTTAATCAAGGTTTTTATTGTGTAAAAGATTTGAATGTGGGTCCACACACAACCAGAATGAATTCTTAAAAAGGGTTTTTATTGAATTATGTTTGCACAGCATTTGAAACTTACGCAGTGGAGAGGACATAAAAACACAAAGATCAACAGAAAAGTGCATTAGAAAAAACTGTATTGGGTTATTCTTTGCGTATAATATATCAAGTTTAGAAGACAGTTCTTATGAACTGTCAGTCCTTATAATATCCTCTCTGCTTGAGACATATCAAATTTCCAGCCACTGTATGAGGCTGTATGAGTTTCTGAAATAGCTATTGTATTATATAAAGTATTATAAAAGAAAAAAGAAAAGTTATGATGAAATCAGAATTCTCTCTGCACATTTACAGCTGAACTTTTCCCATCTAATTTTCAATCAATATGCTGGAGATGAATGTTCAACATGTAAATTTGACCTTTCTGAGCTCATGTGATTCACAAATATTATAAAAGTGCATTTTATCAACATATTTTCATACAAATTTTAATATTGCGAGCATCTCATTTTAATTGTTTTGTAAACCACTCATCATTTATTGGACACCTCATCGCTGCAGCAATTTTTCCCCCCATTCGTTTGCTTAGGGCACCACTAAGACTTGGTATTGTGTTTCACTGTGGTGATAACAGTATATTACATAAAATAACTGGTAATAGCAGAAACACTAATTAACGGAGATGTCTGCAAAATGTATATCACTGTTGATTAAATAGTTCACTGACTTGTCTCAGGAGAGGAGCTGGTGAAGGAAGACAAGGTTAAGATCTGCTTCTTGGAGAGAGTGATAAGTACAGGGTCGTGTGGTCCTGCTGATCGTACCATCTCATCTGTCTGTTATTTCCCCCACTGTTTTTTATTGGCTTGTCTGTGTTGTCCTCTAGGCTTTGCTCCTGCACCCCCCCTCTTCCTACATTTCATCTATCTTCTGTCTTCGACTTTCTTCGATGTAAGTTCTGCTTCAATATAATATAATATAATATAATATAATATAATATAATATAATATAATATAATATAATATAATATAATATAATATAATATAATATAATACATGTATTATAATAGACTGACAATGTCAAACACATTGCATAGACCTGTCACTCTCTCTCTCCAATGCACAAATGTAGACCAATGAAAATCGCTGACGTACGGACGTGCGGCCCTTCTGTCCAATGAGCTGGCTCGTTCTTGCGTTTCGTCATGCTACGGAAGTGCTGGCTCTGAAGCTCGGTCGTGTGGGCCCCTGTCAACGCTGCCTGACTCCCATCGCTGCCGAACCGTGGAGGAACCTCCCTGGATGTGTTTGTCTCACATCTCATGTAGATTGGTTGTCGCTGTGTGACAAGCTGCGGTCTGACAATGGGAGCGAACAACAGCACCCGCCGTGTGTCGTTTGAGTCGGACGAGAACGAGAATATAACGGTGGTGAAGGGCATACGGGTGAGTGACATTACACAGACCGGTGTGCTGCAAACAGCTGCAAACAGCTGCTGCACCACTGCTCGAGTCCAGGGCCACAGGGGGATGAGTCAGGCTGTAGAATGCTATGCTAACCAGAATGCTAAAATGAGCTTTTATCTAAGACTAGCTATGCTACATTGAAGCAGCCTGTGTATTGAGTCTGAAGGGTACACACCAGGCTAAGCTAACGCAGTGAAGGTTTACTTTCGTTCACTGAGTGTGCGCGCGCGTGTGTGTGAGAGAGAGTGAGTGAGAGAGCTTTACACACAGTGAACTTTTCAATGTGTTTTTTGGGGAGTGTTGACACTGACGTCACCAGCCTCGTGGTCTCCTCTCAGTCCCCCTGAGTATGAATGGAAGTCTTCCTGCACAGGATGGTGACAGTTTCCTGTTTAGACAATCGCCTCATCTCCCAACCTCTTTCTCACTTTACCAGGAACACTTTTCTCTTTTTGATTAGTAATGGATATAAATTGTGGATTTATGATATTGATTCATGTCACATACTTGTTCTCAGTTACATGCGGCATCCATTGCACCTGTTGCACTTGAACTGAACTTGAAGTTTCAAGTTTGTTAATGTTATTCTCATGAAGGTTTGTTTTAAAGGTGGTAACAAGTGCGTGGACGATGTTATTGAAATAGAGTGAGTATAACGTGGGAGCTGTGGCCATGTCTGCATGCCACTGTCAGCTCATGTTAAATATAGATTGAGAGGCTTTAGCTGATCAGAGTGGAGGAGTTTACTTGGCAGGACTCCTGTCTATCAATACTCGAGCCAACAGAGAGAGGCGAACTTAGCTTTCCAGTGAGGTGTAATCCTGTTCATGCAAATTTATGTAAACAGATTGAAAATTAAGCCTTATTTACTCCCTGGTTTGGAAACAGTGTCTAGTTTTCCATAACTTCATCCAGTGAGGAGTGACTTTGTTCAGGTACAGAATTCTGCCTCTCTGAAACTCACTTATCCACATACCATGTCTCCTTTGTTTAAACTGTACACAAACAGAAACAACAAAATAAAAAGACAAGGTGTGGTTTTATCAGGCGTTACGTGCTGTAACTATTTATGCATGGATTAAACCCTGACTGATTTAAGGGTTGGCTCATATTACTGGCCGATATGAGCCTTTCATTTATGTTGCGTATATGGGATTGATCTTACTTGAGTTCATATTCAACTTTTAAGTAGTCAGTTTGCCAGAAAATTGATAATATTGTTCCACGTAGCTTTAACTCCCTGATATCGGTATCAGGCCCAAAAATCCATATTGGTTTGGCTCTAATCTAAATAAACAAATTCAATTTACTGTTTTAAGTATTTAAGTAAGTTCCTCTAAAACTTTTCTTTCACTCTCCTGCAGCTTTCTGAGAATGTCCTCAACCGCATGAGGGAACCCGCAGCTCCTCCTAAAAAACAACAACGTGCTCCCACTCCACCACCTCCCTTGGAGCCGACACTCACTTCCTCTCCTCTCCTGCGGCCAGTGCCTCCCCCCTTTGATCCGATCACCTCCTTGCCTCCTCTCCCTCCTCTTGTAGAACCTGTTGCCCCTCCAACTCCTCCTCCGCCAGCTCCACCTGTCCAAGAGACTGCACCTACACCACCACCACCACCACCACCTCCTTCTCAACCTCCTGCAGAACAGGTAGCAGCCCCTACCATAGCTGACATGTTGCTCTCATCCTCATCTTTGCTCTCAGCTCCTCCTGCTCCCTGCTCTGCTTCAGCTGCTGTGGAAGAGATCGCTGTGCTTGCGCCTCCTCCCCTTGTAATTGAACCCTCTTCTCCTCCTCCCATAAATCAGCCCATTGCTGCTTCTCCTCCTGTAATGGAACCTATTGCTCCTCCACATGTGATTGAATCCATTGCTCCTGCATTTGTATCTGAGCCCATACCATGTCCTCCCCCTGTCGAGATGGAACCCATCGCTGCTGCTCCCCCTCCTCCAGAATCTGAACCCCTCTCTTCCCCTCCTATTCTCGAGCCTGCGCCCACCCTGATGCCACCTGCGCCTCCAGGGGACACATTGTCCCTGCAGCCTGCTGAGCCACTTGCTTCGCCTCCCATGCCAGAGTTTACTGCTCCTTGTGAACCAGTTGCACCTCCTCTTCAGCTCCCAGTAGAGCCAGTATCCCCTGCTCCAGTCCCAGAGCCTGTGGCAGTGCCTGAGTCGAGTCCAATCCCACCACCTCCTCCTCCACCAGCCGGTGAGTTTTTACTGCATTCTAGCAGATGTGACCCCCGCAACACCTGGATAAACTTGTGTCTTGTTCCTTCAGGAGTCAGGAGTTCATAATTTTTTATTAAAAAACTGAAGGAATGAATTGTTCTTGGTAATTGCTCAATTTATCCTGAAATGTGTTGGGCATGGTTAATTAGAAAGCAAAGGTTAGGAAGAATGAACTGTCCAAGGATTTAAGTCCGGCTATATTGAATTTTAATATTGTTTATTTTATGGGTGTTTAAGCCACCCTAAGCTTTTTGTCTCCCAACTTTTTCGTGCAGATTGTAATTAGTCTTCATTTAAAAAATGGGCCTCACAGTAGCTTTGGTCACATTGTGATTCATTGCCATCCCCTAACTGCTAATGAAATGATTAATTCTTTCATGTAATAGTGTTAATAAATTGATGCTGTAATTAGTGGCCTTCCATTCCGCCTCGTCACTGTGGAGCTCAAGCTGTCATGGTAACCTTCTTCTCCCTGAGGTTTGTGAGAGCATTCAACCTCGGCAGCAGCTTCTACCATTGTTGTATATGGGTGCTATTTTTATTCTCAGCATTTAATTCCCTTTTCAGTTAAGCAGCCATAATCAGTGTTTTATTAAAAAGATTATATGTGAGAGAAATAATTAAATTAATATTCCACGAAGACTTATCAACCAACTCTGCAGATGCTGTCAGTTTTACAATTCTTCACTATTTTGGTTCACTCTCCACTCACTCATCAGTGGCGACAAAGTTTTCGATTAGATAGTAAACATGTTGAAGCATCAGATGCATAAGAGTCACAAATTTCCATCAGAAGTTGATGAAGTCCATAATCTGACCTAAGGGGTCAGTGACTTCGACTCCAAATAAATTTCTAATCCTGTAAAGAGTCAAACATGCACACAAACTCTCTTCCCACTTATCTATTGAAGCAAACTTTTAGCATCCCTGTCTTTTTCGTGTGGGTGCACGTCCCTTATCTCTTGACACATCCAGCAGAGGACTTTTGAATGTTACCTATTCATTACACAGTGCAGAATGGGGCGTGGGTGCAAGTTCCTTAGAAGGTGGCATCCAGGGTGTGGGCAGGCTCCCCCATCCTTGACTGGGCTCAATCAGTAAGGTAATTAAAAAAAGGCCAACTTATGCCACGCCACACTGACTCCGGTGATTAAAACTACACCTCCGCACTTTCACACAGCAAAACACCAGGCCTCATTAAGGGCCGGCTGGAGATGGTGTTTGGGTTGGTGTATTGTGTATAAAACTTTTTATGTGGCCACTGGGCTTTGATGATATGACACCGAATTTGCTTGAAGTTTGTTTAAGCACATCAAAAATACAACTGGACTATGAAAGTTTCAGTGTGTAGTGTAGTGACCTCTAGCAGTGAAGATACAGATTGCAACCCATTGCCTCATCCCTCTCTTCCATGCATGAAGGGGAACCTACAGTGTTTTTCTGGTAATGTTAAAAGGTGAAAGGCCCTCTTTAGACTCCATCTATTGTAGAAACATGGCAGTGTAACATAGCAGACTTTATGGAAGTGGACCTGCTCCAAATATAGATATAAAGGGCTAATATGTGGGTAACAAATATTATTTTAAACAATTATTCGTAGTTTCAGGTGATTTATTTGCGAATGACATTGATTGACATTTTCTACCAATAAATCTTCTAAATTCAACACACTGAACCTTTTTATTTAAAGTTTTTCTTTGTTACAAAACAAAAACCACGTCCCTCTAAATGTGCATTTTAGTTTAGTATCAACAATCACCTCTATCCATACTAACAAGCTTGAAAACCCACTGTAGTATTATAAAATGCAGAATTTAACCGTGCAACAGCTGCTAGCAGAGACATCAAGGTCAGCACTGCATGTATTTCATTGCAGTCACTCTTGGTAATCCAGGCTGATGCCACTTGTTTCCTTTCAAAAAGGGTCGGGTGACATGAGCTTGACAAACCTGCGAAGGATATGTGCTGATTCTTAAACGTGTGTGTCTGTGTCATCATTTCAAAAGCCTGGAAAAGTCTGCTGTAGTATGTACACCAGAAGTAAGCAGAGCAAAAACTTAACCATGTCTGAGTGGATGTAGCCTTTGTTTTCTATTAACTCTGCTGTCAAATAAATATTACAGATTTACAGATTGAAAAGACACATTTAACTGTATCCCACTTAATTTTGTTAAAGGTTAGGAATGTGTTGAGTGTAGCTATTAAGGGAAACTGCCTTCTGCTGTCACAGCAACAAATCTACTGATCTATTAAAAGGTTAGTTATGAAAATAAGTCCTAAATGGTCTGTTGGAGGTCATGAACTTGTCTTTCGGTCACAACCACAATTTTCATTTCTGTTGTCTCACTGCAGTTTCAATTTAGCTGCAAGTTTGGGGCTGACCTTTGCCAGCCATCGGCCCACATTTGTCTCACCACAGTAATGTACGTTGACATTTACTGAGGTACTTTAAATATACCTTCCTTGCAAGGTCACCTCATAGCTAAAATGTACCAAACTCACCGTGTGTTATGAAGGAGTGGAAAAAATTTAATTCGGACGATTGATCAAGCATGCTCTTGTTAAAGAAGTAGAGGAAAAAGGTACGATGAATGTGAATGTGAATCTAGTTAAAAACTTGCAAAGTTCAGCCCGATCCTTAAAGGGTACGACCTTAATGAGGCAGACATTGATTATGTGTGTCCACGAGAGCTGGGTATCGAGTGAAGCACTCAGCAGGTTGGCTGTCTCTAAATCATGGCCTGAGTCAGTATGTGTGCTGATTACACCATAGTCAAGGTTGAACCTCCTACACCTTCTCCAATGTGCTATAAATATTCATATGGCATAGCCCACACACTGCGCTGGACTAATAGTCTGCTTAAAGTTGTCTCCCAGATGCAGCATAAAGAACGGAGGAACATGCAGAGACAAAGGGAGAGATGTGGGTGACTTGGTGTGTGTGGACATATATGTGAGTGTGAAACTTGTGAAAAGGATTGCTGGGTTTTTGAAGCCAACCTTTCTTGTTATCTTGTGAAAATGTGAAATGATCTGTCAGGTCCTATTCTATAACATGGGATTGAATTAACAGGAAATGTGTGTGAATAAAAGAGAAAATCAGAAATGGCACCTGCCTGCCAGGGCTGGCAGCTTGCTCCCGGCGCTTTTTTTTCCTATTTGAACATAGTGAAAGGTGTGCGGTGACTCGACTAAGTGCAAGCTAGAAACGTGAGGAAGTGGTAATGTTACAGATTATGCCCTCCACGCGGGTCCTGGGGTTAATGAAACTTCTGATGAGAAACGCAATTTGCCATCGTCTATTATCTCCACTGCCAATAGTCTTTGCACCACCGCCTTTCCTCCTCTATGGGTTTTTCCACAGGGGTGTAGTGATTGGTGTAAAAGGAGAGGAGGGGGACACGTCTAAAGAGATGATGAGTTTTTAATCTTTTTAACATTTATGTGTCCTACTCAGGATTGACATGGGCTCTGTCGATCTGGAATTGTCTCTGACCCCAACCAGCCTCTCTCGAGGACCCCAGACAGTGTTTATCATATCAGAACCTGTTCTCCAGCTGACCCTGTGGGCCTGCTAGCTGTCTGAATTCTGTCTCTGCAGGGCTGAAGAGGATGTGGTGATAAATGAGCAGTTACTTAGTCTTGTCTGAACTTGGAGGGTTTTAACATTTTTACATTTCATAGCACAAGCTGCTAGGGGGTACATATTTTCAATGTAAGTCTGAGAAAGTTTAAAGGACAGTTGATGCTGAAAGGTGAATCTATCTGATGGAAAACATCAGGGCTTGACCTCTTGATTAAAGTGGCACCTGAGCTAGGTGTCCAGTACACAGTGTGTCCATCTACTAAAAAGATCTATGGGAGTAACAGTAAAAGGTTTTCATCGCAGAGACTCTGAACTGTTGCCTTAGCTGCTTGTCTCATAATGGCCCAAAGCTACTAAAGTACTGTTTGCAGTCATAATCACCAGTTTAAATGTGGGATGATGTGACATTAGCCTGTCAGTTCTGTACAGTTATAGTTTATGTTTTGGCCAAGGGCAGCAGAACAAGCGGTGAGCACAACATTAAGATATCTTCACCTTTTGTCCACATTTTGTTGAAAGTGTTTGCAAACATTTATAGTTTCACAAACTGAGCAGCCATGGAAGCAATATTCCTCTTCAGCCATGTTTCTGGTCACCTGAAAAATGTTTGCCCAACATCAAATACAGCCTTACCAATGTGGATTATTTGAGGCCAATTCAGAAATTAGGGAATAAAACTATTTCCTATACCAATATACTAGCTAATAAATATGTGTAACTATAACCTTTACCATAAATAACTAAAATAAAGAAATACTGCATTAGCAGAGTGTTTTCACTGAGAACAACTTCCCGCAGCATCTGAAAATGACGCAGACACTCAGGTGACAAGTGAATGCATTATCAGCGACACAAGATGATCACAGCCCAGCACCTGATGTAACATATATTTCTGATGTAAAGTCTTGTTCTTCGACAGGTTGCCAGACTGCTGTGGTTCTAAACAGAGTTGTAATTAGACTCTCCACTGAAGTGCGATCAATGTTGCTTCTGAGTGCTGTCAAACATGATGGATATTATTTTCTCACACTCCGGACAGAGGTTGACAGCAGCCTCTGTCTTTACGAATACACTGCGCAGCAAAGAGTTGTCAACTGTCAATCACCACCTGTGTTTGCACTAGTGTTTCTTCTGAAGCGCTGTCATACAGGCCCTCCCTCTACCTGATGCTTATTCATTTCACTTCATTTGAATTCGTTGTCACTTAGCGAGTTCTTGATATTTGTCCTTTGGAGCAAGAGAAGAAAGGGAAGTAGAGGGTGAAAATCAGAAACAATGAAGTATTTTAACTGTATTTCTGCACTTGTATCTCTTGAGAGCAAATTATTAACAGTGAGTGTGTTAAAGGAGCTGAAGGACGTTGGAGGACCTGTTAATGAGCAGAGATTTGATGTGTCCACAACCTTTAATTAACCAGGAACAGTCTTTAGATTAAAATCTCTTTTTCAAACGAGACCTGGCCAAGATGGGACATATGTTCTAATTGCAGAAATGTCTGTTTGTGGAACGCCTATCGCAAACAGGCTTCATCTTATCAACTGCACACTTTGCATGTGTATTCGTTTGGGCCCAAGGAAGTGATGTGTTCAATTTGGTTCAGTTTGGACACATGATACATTCAATATTAATAACCTTTAGATAAACAGGGACTTATCAATGCAAGTGACGACAACAGGTGTGTTCACAACACAAACTGATTCTCCAGATTCCACGTACAAGCTTCACAGAACATTGACTCAAGGTGAGCAGCTCTTTGTGCAGCATGTGGCGGCGAGGCTTCAGGATTCTGCGGACTGAGTCCTGCAGTCACGGCTTAATTACTGCAGGTCACTTATACAGTTTCTGAAAGAAAGCTGCAACTCGCATTCAAACAGCCCATTCCTAACAGGCAGGTTTCTAACGGCCACTGCACTCGTACTATTTAATGAGCAGAGATTTAATGTATCCATAACCTTAATTTAACCAGGAAATGCCTTGAGATATTGAGACCGTGCCAAGAACTCACATGAAAGAAATAAAGCATATCAAAACAGACAAGGAACAATTAAAGAAAATGGACCATGTCAAAAACAGATAAAAAGCAGCAGTTACTTGAGACAAAATCCTGCGCAGGGACTCTCTTCAGTTCCTCAGCTTTCTATCACAACTTTGAATTCTCCCAGGGAGACAAAATCATTAAGCTGGGAGAGTTCTGGAGGTTATTCCATGACCAGGGAGCAAAGCCAGAGAAAGCTGCTCCACTAACTTCAGACTTAAATCCTTGGTACCTGGCAGAGAAGCCATTTTGTGGAGTGAAAATTATTTTAAATATTAGCATATTAACTGTGGAACGCTCTGGGTAACTGGCAACCTTTAAGTTCAACAGTATCATTAAGTTGTTTTTAATTTTTACAACGTTGGAAGTGGATCTTTATTCGGCCTTCACGCAGAGCAGAATACATCGAATCTGCGTTGAGGTTCAGGCCACTACAAGAGCCAGTTAATATTCATTCTCTTAAAATTGAATTATTTTTATGAGACTCTGTGATGGAGAATTTGTTTCAGGGGCAAATTTCATAGAGATGGATCATATTGAATCAGCAGTGTTAAAAGGAGAAAACGACCATTGCTGGAGAAAATATCAATTTTAAGCTGAGAATAGTGGATCTAATTGTTTTGTGTCTTTTTCAACCTTTCCCTCAGAGTTTGTAATTCTGTCAGTGTGTCCACAGGGTATCCCAGAACTTTTAAATAGATTTCAGTTGAAGAGACAACTGCAATAGCTCCGGGCCACATAACATTAAAAACATTTAATTAGACCGTGATATTGGAATTGAGGCTTTTAGTTGAAACAACAAAACTTCACAGGTAACCTTCTGAATTGTTTGTTAATTAACAAATCAGCAACCACTGAAAACACATGTTGGACCCATAGACTGTATGTAAAGATGGACAACATCTTTATATACCAATGAGACGTGGACCAAACTCAAAAGTCTAAATGTTCTCAAAAATGGTTGCTGTCATTGAAAGTTGAGACCAACTTGTGATTGGCAAGGCCTCGATACCCCGGCTCCATCCCCAAATTGCTACTGTGCAGACTCTGACTCCCAATTATGTCTTTGGTGCAAGATGTGTTGTCCATCTTTATATACAGTCTGTGGTTGGCACCAAGCACCTAATGAGTATTTTTATTTTATTATTGTATATTTATTTTATAAATACACTCTTTATTATTTTAGATATTTTAACTTATCATTAGTGTAATTGTTCTTTTTTTATTACTTCACTAATTTACTTTTGCTTCTTAACTTATTTTTTTAAACATATATTAAATGTTAAAAATATTTCAAAAATTACAGAATAAGCATTGTAAATAAAGCAATGCAGTTTTCTCTTTCATCTGTATTTATTTTACAGCCTCGATAAGGAAAAGAATGGTTTTGCACATTTCACGTCTTATTTTTGATCTGTTTTAGCTGAAATTAGGTTTTTGTGTGTTTGCCTTTCAACTGGCCTGCTGTTAGCACACATTACCTGGTAATAATAGACTCTGACAATAGGGATTATCCCATCTTACTAATGCAGTGGGAGAGTAATCTTGACACACTCAGACTCTCCCCCAATCACTGCAGTGTCGCAGCACACTGCATGGCACTTCTGCCTTCAGAGCACGTTTTTGCCCAGTTGCCGGCTGGCATCTTTACTTTCATGCTTAATTACCTGCCAAGATAGACCAGTGGAGACATGGAATTATACATGTATGATGTCCCGATGATACCAATACATGTAGACAGGGTGGGCTGCTGTGTGGTTTAAGGATGGATGATGTGTGTGCATGCATTTAGATGATATGGGGATTTTTCTTTGTTTATTTTAAGCGGCTTTCAGACATGCACTGAAGGGGCTGTTTGTGAGAACGCTAATGTCCGAGTCCGATGATGCTGACATTCTCCGGAGCTTTTCCAGCCCCCTGGTAAAATGTCTGGAAAAATCACAGCGAGCGAGTTGGTGCATTGATAATGTTTAAAACATTTGAAAACTGAAAAATAAGTTTAAAAACAGCATTCTTCCTCATTTGTTAAATAAAGACTCACATTTCTCTTATTCCTTTCTTTTTTCTGTTGTTTTCAGACTGTATCATTCTACCCTGTCTCCCAATATACCTGTCAGCAAACAAGAGCTGTTCTGCTTTACATTCTCTCTCTTTAACCATTTCTTTTTCTTTTTGCTTCTGCCTCTCTTTTTCTCTTTTTCTCCCAGTTGACGAAGAGGCCCTGAGGAAGAAGATTTCTGTTGAGCTGCACAAAGGCTTTGAGGAGGAGAGGGCCAAGGCAGAGCAAGAGCTGCAAGCCTGGTGAGATACACGCACACAAACTCATGCACAAACATGGTTTTAGCCTGGAATGTAATGGTTATGTTTGACTTTGCACCAATATTTCTGTTGTGTTTTATTTCAGAATCAAGTGTTATAATTTACAGAGGTTATAATTTATGTTTTTAGTTGAAATCAAGTTTGCTGAAAATCAAAATCTCTGGTGTTCCTTGTGTGCATCTCTCTCTACCCTTTCCTCCTTTTCCTCTATCTTCCTCATTTTGGATCATGAATTACGGTTCAACACAAGTGTCAACTCCTGCTCCTGGATTTCATTATAAACGGAAGATACTCTCAGATTTGACTATTTTCCGCTCTCATTAATAGTCAAAAAGGTCAGCAACAGACTTATGATTCCCACTGTTTCCAATCTGCTTCTCTTCCGAAGCACATCAGCACTTTTCCTTGCCTCTATTTCTGCTTCTTTCCTCTCCTTCTGTCTGGATCAATTAATCATGCCTGAGAAAGGAGGGTGCTTTCTTCAGGTAATTTCCTGGGTGTTGAGTGGGTGATCTATTAGCCCTTCATGATGAAGAAACACACTCTTCGTGTGAGGAGCGTATCCCATTCTCTCCTCTCTTCCTGTCATGTCCTGTTCTCTCCTCTTCTTTTTGACCCCAAAGAAGCAGGTGCACATGCTGTAATGTCCGATAATCGTGTTGCTCCCCCTCTCTCTAACAGCCCTGGACGTTCTCCAGCAGACCCCAGTCAATGAAACAGCTGTGATTAGCCACTAAATGCACCATTGTACTGTATGGGGGGGGGGTCCAGGAGGAGGTAGTGTTAGCCTAGCAATTAGCCTCGTTTTTTGAGCCTCATTCAAGAAGAGAGAAATTAATAAGTGGTGTTGAGAAATCAGTTGTTTATTGATTTCTTTGTCTCCCCTGGCGATTTTATTTTTTGTAACCACTTCCTGCAGTTCACTTATTGATGTCTATTCAGTAAGTGCTTCAAAATTATACCCTCTTTACAATTAATTGAAATCATGTTGGCTTTCAAACCCTTGATTTTTGTTTGTGGTTTTTTTGTCACATTATTTTTGTTCCATCTGTGTTTTTGTGAGTGTGTTTTTATGCACGTGTCCGTTTTCCTTGCTAATAGTTTCTAGGTAGTAATCATGGTACAGGTGCTGCTCAGTGTTGATGCTGAGGTAGAAACACTTGAGAAAATGTATAAAAGCTTAATTACTTCAGCCAAGGATGTTGTGCTTCCCCCCCCCCTTTTTTTGTTACTAGGATTATGCAAAGAAATTACTGAATGGATTTCCACGAAATGTGGTTTTAAGATGGGACATGGGCCAAGAAAAAACACTTGGGGGAGATATATGTTCTACTGAGTGCCATTATAGTTGAATTGTTTGTTCTTACTGTGTAGAGACTTCTGTCCAACATAATGTGGCTCAGGAGGTAGAGTAGGTTGTCCACCAAACGGAAGGTCAGCGGTTCAATCCCTGTCTCCCCCATTTTACTTGCCAAAGTGTCCTTGGGCAACTTGGGCAAGATCCTGAACTCCAATTTGCATTTTTAGTAATGCAGGATAGACAAAGTGCTACACCCAGAAGCACTGCATGAAAGTTAGAAGCAAAATAACCTTAAAGCACTTTGAGCCGTCATCAAGACTAAAAAAATATCCAACCATATCTAAGTGTGAATTAAGTCATCACATTTATCATCTGCTTTAGTGCAATTCAGCACATTATTTGTTTTAATATGATAACACCTCTATACTAGACAGAAAATGGCTCCTACTCAATTTTTTTGTCACCACACTTTCATTTGGAAATTATCGAGAGTTTTTGGTTGTTGAAGGCAAACATGGCCCAGTGATTTTGGCCTTGGCTGGCTAGAAGAGCAGCAAAGAGAGGAGATATCATTTGTTGCAAAAGTTGAAGGAAGATATTGTTTGTGTGTATGAGTGTATTGAAGCTCAGCTAAAAAGGCCACACAGTGTCTCACAAGTTGCAGGAACCCTGCAGTGAAACTGCTGCACAGCTTGAACGCAGGAATGGATATGTGAAAGCCCAGGTCAGCGGGAGAGAGTACAAACACCAGACCCAAATCATATTCAAACCCAAAATGGCTCCTGCACTTTGTTGGTTGTTCAAATGCTCGTAACACATGTTTCTTACAGGCTCATTTATGTTCTTTTCAGAAAAAATAAATGCAAATTAACTGGAGGACGTCCTGCTGCAATCACTCCTAATTCATTGTTTCAGTACTTCTCTCAATTTATTAACAACAGAGGTCTAACAGGAAATTACATTGGGGACGAACTTTGTCATTACAATGCTAACGTTGTTATTCCGTCCTGTGCAGTTTTGCCATGTAGAGCAACCAGAACAGTGGTGTTTAGATGAGGCAGTATTTCTTCAGTTTGGCTTCAGGTCCATAGATGAACTCCAGAGATCTGGGTCTGCATGTTTTGCTCTGGCAGGACTGAAGTAAGTGCTGTGTGAAGAGTTCATTTGGGTGCATCCTAAACTCATTTGTAGCAAGGAGCGGCTGCAGGGAGCAGATTTGCCTCTGCCGCTTCTCTGTGAGGCAGCGGAGCAGAACGACTCAGAGAAAGGGATGAGAGAGAAGGAGCGATGAGTGGGGGCTGGAGAACGCGCACAGCATTCTGTCTCCCCTCCCTCAACCTAACTCTTCCCATGTCGCCATTCGATCCAATTCTTCCCTGTGTTATTCTTGCATCTTTCCCTCACTTTCTGTCTTGTCTCTTTCTCCTCCTGTCTCCTGTTTTTTCTGTTTTTCTCCAGCCATCGTTCTCCTCCCTCTGCACTAACAGTGCACACTTACAAGTTTGTCACAGTTGTGGAACTTATGTCCATACAGCTTGTTTTGTCTTGTGTGATTATAATTACATGTCAGACTTTTGAATGAGAACGCTGACCTTCCCTCAGAACCTCTGTTTTCCTCCCTGTGTTACCCAGACATCCCGTTAAATAGTTTATTGCTCCTGGATCAAATGCAGACAGATAGCACAGCCTATAGATTTTTACATTTTGTTTATTTATATAGGTTATCTTTGCCCAGAAATGAACGTACTCACACACACAAAGTAGAAAGTTTGGGGTGATCAGAAAAGAAAAACTTCCTGAATCCTACCCGATTGTCAGGATTGTTCCTGGGGAGCTGTGATTCTTCTTTAAAAATGTGCCTGAATCAGCAGCACCCCGGGTCTTTGATCAGATTCTCTGACTGCACTTTCTGTAACTTCATGATATTCTATCTGACTACTGTCAAAATATACTACACTCTTAAAACTCTACAGCCCCCTCACACCTGTACTAATGGTAACAGTCATTAAAATAACAATATTAAAGAAATAAAATCAATGGAAATAATCACAAATATGACAGTGCTGAATATAATAATTCATTATGATATTATACAAAATAAAAATGCAAATAGCACTATTGGCATAAAACCAGAGAACACAGAGTACAGTCACAAAAGACTCACCTTAGCAACCACTCCATGCACAACCAGTGAGGTTGCAGCTACTGTGAATGAACCCGCCCCAAAACACTGTACAGTTTATTTAGATATACCATAGTAACCATAGAGAACGTCATTCATTCTTTGCTTTAAAGCTAGTGTTTGTAATCCAGTTTGAAAATATGTAACAGATACATCTCATTCTCTCCCATCAACCCTCTTGTCAAAACACATGAACGTGCATTGTCTGACAACTGCTAGAGGCCAACTTTTCTTGACTGGCTCTCTAACTTCATCGTCTCTGCTTCAGCGGTGTTTGCCTCTCCAACCTGTTAATCTGAATGAAATGATACGTCGACAACTTCATTTATTGATGGTTATCGATTTCAAAAGTAAGGATAAAGATAAAAAGTGTTTCAGAACTAACTTACCGACTATATCTTCAATAAGATGTAATTTCCAACTTGATCACATTGTTGTTTAGTTCTCCCATTTCCAGAAATGTTGAACAGTAAATACACTATTTCACAAAAAGGGAAATAAAATCTTTGACCTGTGGTTGACCTGCGTAGTCAGTTGTGCTTTTTGACTCTAATCAACTAGGAAATCTGCTTTCTGCAGTTTGAGTATTACTCAACGTGGTCTTATATGAACAGATAGAATCAGGAGAAATTTTCCAACCACCTCAGAGTTTAAACACTGCTACACAGTGAACCATCAGGCAGCTGGACTTGTTCCACACTGCCAACTAGATGGACTGTTTAGTGTTGGGAGTTTGAGCTTTATATCGTCTGATATGTGAAGAAACAACAGAGGAGAGAGCGACAATGATATCCACCTTTGCCTCTGATGATGCTTGATTGTAGCATGGAAACATTAACAGTTAGCTCTAACTTTGGGTAAAGTAAATGGAGATTAGAAAATGGCTTTCATGCTCCTTTCTGAACTGTGGAGGCTCTTTCTAAATGAATCCCCACTGTTCTTTGTGCCCCATACATTTAAATCTCACTGTTCCCAGCCTTTCCAACACCACAACACAGTCAAGTGTGGGGTTTGTGTATGTGTGTGTTTATGTGTGTCAATGAGAGTGCACAGCTCCATAAAATATTCATGGCCAGCATTCAGCCACATTATTCCTAACATCAATATTGCATCAGGCCTTTAAATGCCTTTGTTTCAAGGCACTTGGGTCGAGCCTGCGCTGTTATGCGGGTCTGTCAGAATCCGTCCTGGCAGGCAGAGTGTATTGAGACACATGTTGTGTAGATGACAGGTAGACGACTGGAAACCTTAATGGGTAGAAAAAGGAAATGGAAGCAAAAACTGATGGATGGGTAAAAGGGTAAAAAGCTAGGAGACATGAATTTTTTTATTTTTGATAGTCGTGCAAGGGAAATAATAATTAATGTCATTTTCTGTGAAGTACTTGATGATGATGGTTTCGCACACCATTTTTTAACATGTCTACATCAATCATTGATTTTGCAAAGCATTTATATTTGCAGAGACACACATACCTGCACAGCCTGTTCACCCACTTCTTCACCTGTATACATTTTTCACATGAACTGACACAGATCAGATCTCTGTCAGTTTTAGAAATAGTTTCCTAAAAGAACTGAAGCGTCCTCCGGTACTTCTGCTCAAGGTCAGCCCTTGAAAAGTGAGTTACTCCTGTGGAAATGGCCAAAGCAGTCCAACCCACTAGCACTCCGCTCCTCTCCAAATTAATGATACATCACTGGTCCGTCCTTTCCATCTTACTGTTTTTCAGGACTCGATCCACTGAGCCATCAAAACACAGGTTACCAGGCCAAGATTATCTTCTCTCTCTTTCCAGTAGCACCCCCTTCCTCTTTTCCTCAGAAGACATTATATTATATTTTTCTTTCCCATCAGTAGGTGCTGTCTTTTTCCTCTCTCCGTCTGACTCAACCATTCTTTCTCAAAGCAACCGCCCCCTCCCTTTCCTACCCTGTGCCAATCTTCTACAGTCGAATGAAAAATGCGTTCAATATCCCGGGGACAGGGCAATAATGACTGGAAAGCAATAGAGGTGAAGCAGAAAGATAGCATCCAGCTAGTGATAGCAGTCTTTGCTTGGGTTAGCACTTGTGAGGAAGTCAGTTGACAGACTTTTTTGCTAGGCTGTCTATTTTCTTGTCCTCATCACTCACACTTGTCCAAGTTGTAGCTTTTGGTCACCATTCGTTTATTATCAGGGGATTTCCCGCTTCTTAATTTGGCAAAATAGAACTTGATCCATGGGTACAGCTTTCTCATAAGTACAGCTGCTTTTAGTCCTGTTATTTCCTGTTATTTCTCCAAACCGAAAAACCTTCAACTTCATGTCACGGAGAATGAATTTGTTGCTTTTGCTGGCCGACATGACCACCACCCAAGTCCCTTTCTAAGAACTCTGTATATCGTTCCTTCACTCACAGTTGGAGCAATTGCTTAAGCCACATCTTCGTGAGTAAAGGTAGCTTAGGTACATTAGCAGTGCAGGCAGGGAGGCGTGGATCGTGGGGAAATGGTGAATGTAAAAGACCATTAGGAGGCTCCCTGTATGACTGTGTGTGTGTGTGTGTGAGTGAGTTGGGGCTTGATGATGGATGGAGCGTGCTGACGTGTGCAGCCCAGTGGACTGTGAGACTGGACATGGCTGGTCTCTCTCCGTCTCCCTCCATCTCTCTCTCCCACTCTCTGCCTCACTCTCTCTTTGCTTCACTTCCTCAGGGCCAAACATGTCATGTCGCCACCACTCACACTCGCTCCTTCCTCTCTCTCTTTATTTCTCTTTTTCTGTCTTTTTCGTCTTGCCCCCCTCATCTCCCGCTCTCTGACATTTAGTAGTTTTGCAGGGCGAACGGCAGCTTTAGGATGTCAGACATATTTTCATTTGACTTACCTGCTGAAAGCCAAAAGTGCAAGATGGTGATAAGTTAGTTAGTCTGTCCATCATGATTCATCATTGTGTAAACTTTGGGTATATTCACAGGTGAGGGGGAAGAAATGAATCCATCACATTGACAATATCAGAAAAGCAGCCATGAGGTTGAAAATGCACAAACCTGTCACACACTTGACAACCCAGATGATTCACTTAAATCATAATGATAAGCCATCAACGAACCTGATGAGACAGTATACGAGTCATGCACTCCAATTTACCATTTATGAACATCAAAAACTTATATGCATACTTTTATATGCAGTCGTTGGTTTCCACACACTTGACGAAGAAGATTTACTCAAATTATCAAAGTAAGCATAGAACAAACCTAATTAGACAGAATGTGAGTTATTCATTTAACCTAAGTGTTAATTTATATCAAAACAATTTCACACTTTTTAAAGCGTGACTTGAAAAATGAAATTAAAATAGTTCATACAAAATGTCACTATATTTTAGACGTTTAAAACATTTGTTGTGTTTTCACACTTTCACGTCTGGTGGATCAGAGATGTCTCCTTTTTAAATGTGGAGGAATTATCTGGAACCATTGTTTGGTGTCTATGAACTGCATCACACAGCCAGTCAAAATAGAGCCTCGCTTTATGGTATCCTACTGCTCGTCAAGGTCTGTTAGGTTTTTCGTGAGGCTGGAGTTTATTAAGATCCTTGCCATCTCCATTCATCTGTTCGTCTGTTCTAATCCACTCAGCCACTCGATACGTCCCTTCTGCGTTTATTTTACCTCGCTACGAATGTTTGATTCCTTCAAGAGAAAGATACTCAGGGTTTCAGGGACGTTCCTCTTCTTCTCCAATCAAGCACACTGTCACTGAGTCGGGAGTGCGTTGCTAGGCAACTATGAGAACCCAATGACAGGGTTCAAATGGTGGTCTTGTGTCTGTAGAAAGCGTCGTGCCTCGGTTTACATCTCTGCTTCATTGGATTGATGACTCTTGTTTTAGGGGTTGTCTTTTACATATTCATAGTCACAGTAATTTTCAGTGTAAATTATTTGGAATTAATATAAATTGATTTGAACTATCTGACAGATGTTAATTGTCCGTGGTACATCTGGGGCAGTCAAACTTCTAGTGTTTGAGTCCCACTTCTGAATGGCGCCCCCTCTTCGCAAGCTGTGGAACAGCAAGGACATGAATGGATGAATCTGACGCTAGTATTGAAAATCGATATACAAGTATATTGGCCTGAGTCTATTCTTCATTAGCACCATAATTGCTTTTCTGACCTTTTAATTCTTTTGGGAGACTTGATGTGCAACAGTTCAGCATGAGGTGCGAGTGTAGGTGGCGCTGTAGACACATAAAGAGAAGTTACAATGTTATATGTGCTGCTCTGAAAAATAACTATCTCCACTATATATGGTTAATATTTTATTTGATATATATGTAATTAATAACAAATAAATACCTATTATGGTTTTCAAAAGTTTCTAGTTTCAAAGTAGCTTGGTTTTTGTTTTAAAATACGAAATGTGCTAAAGAGAGCTGATGTTTCATCACCTATAAAGACATAGGGAAATAGAAAAGGAACTTTAGTGTGAAATGCTGTGGACAATGCCACAAACTTTTTTTCATTTGTTCCTTAATGCATTACAGAGAAAGTAGGGTCTCGCAGGCTCTTGAATAGTGTACAATTTATTAATGTGAATTTTAGACCTTAAAATGTCTTAGATTTGTTGAAATATTACAAACAAGGTCTTAATTACATTAACATGAATTTAATGCTACATCCATTATTATTATTATACCCTTTCTTCCATCTGAAGCAACACTACGTTGTCCTGCAATGAACATATACCATTTTTACATGGATAAAAAAAGGGAACTGCTAATGTAAATCATTGCTAATGCTCCGCAGGTTGGACATGGAGAAGGCCCGAGCAGCAGAGCAGGCTAACGCTGACGCCCAGTCCCAGGTCCAGAGTGAAGTTTCCAGGATCCTCTCTGCGGAGCGGGCCATGGTGCAGGAGAACCTCCAGCAAGCTCTCGTAAGGGAGAGGATCACCACCGAGGACGAGAGGCTCCGTGCCCAGCTCTATGTAAGTTAATGTTCTGCAGCCGCTGTGAACCTTCCCGTCTTATTTTATCTTCCTGAACAGTTTGAACATTCAGTTGGTTCAAATCTGTACCGCAATGTCAAACAACATTTAAACTGCGCGACCGTGCGTGTACAGACTCCCTGATGAGTGCCATCTTTACCCGAAGACAGGTCATTTCATGTTCACACGATCCTGGTCTATCACACAGACGCACAGGAGTGAATCTATTCGCTGCAATCCACAGGTCATGCCTGGTAAAGTGACAAATGTCAAAGATATGAGTGTGTGAGCGTCGCGGCGAGCAGTAATTCACAGAAGTGTCTCCGCTGGGTCAACACTCGGCCCCAGAAACACACACATACAGCCATAAATCAAACGGAAGCTTGTTTTCATAGTAGTTTTCATAGCATAATACAAACCCAGAAGACAGTTTCAGTTTATTCAACATACGGTAAATAAACCTTCAAGACGGCCTCATCTTGTAGTTTGATAGTTTTGTCCTCTTCCACATCTCTGGCGGTTCATCCTGCTGTATTAATAAAGCCACCTTCTTATTCTGCGGCGGCCCGCGTCTTTGTTTCCTGTAAATTGCCCTTGTAAACATTGTCAGATGAGCGTTCTTTACCACACACAGGCGGTGCATTGTTTTCAAAAAGAAAACACATTTTCCCTGGAGTGCGGCTGCTGTTTACAAACCTATGCTATTGATTATATAGCTCATTTCACACGCTCATCGCCATAATAGAAAAATGAATCATTTTGTTGAGAGAGCGAGAGGAGGAGAGGAGCGTTGACGTGATATCACACTGCAGGACAAGTGTATGAGCGATCCCTCATTTGGAACGGCGATCAAATCAAAAAGAGAAAAGGGCTGTGAGAGGGAGACACATGATGTGATGTGGGGTTTTTTTGTTTTTTGTTTTCCCCCTTCAGCGAAAACCATTTCACTTGTAGGTTTTCTGTTAGTTAATTTCTGTTATTTTTCTCCGAGAGAAGAGACAGGACAAATGATGGGGAGGAAGGGCAAGAATGTATCACCTGCTTTGTATCTGTTATGTGTGAAGCAGGGTGGCGGGTGGCAGGTGTTATTGAACTGAACGCACACACTTTTTGTGCACGTCATTGCCTGCACCCTCCAGAAGTACAAACTCCCTCTACTTTTCCTCCTCTACTCCGTGAAGCGTTTGCTTGGAGCCTAAGGGCTAACCTAGGGACATTAGCAGCCTTTGAAACTACAGTTAGCAAGCGCTGCAACTGCTGTGCATCCGCTGTGAGTCTTTCTTACATTCTTGTCTGTTATTTGGTGTTTTTAATATAAATTCTGTTGAATGTGTCTATTCTCTGTCCAGTTTGTTCCCACTTACTTAAGGCATGCATATTGCAGCAAAGGAATCCCTTTCTGGGAGTTTTACCGTTTGGAAATTGTGTGTGTGTGTGTGATAATTTCCTCCATTTGAGCATTCTTTTTGGAGTGCTGGATTTTTAATGGAATCCGACGGGTTATCAATGGAGGTGCAGTGCCGCTTTTTTTTTTACCACTCATGTAATTGTCAAGTCAGACGCTGCTACATCAGCCACTGTTCTTTTCAACTGGAAATGGAGTTTTCTCCGTTTTTAAAAGGCAGCCTCTCTCCCAAGACATCTCCCACCCATTGTCATTTCCCTCTGTGTTTGTCAAACTCCAGGATTGTTCGCTACTACTCACAGTGAACTCGTGTTTGATGAAACATAATGTTTTCCAGGGCCGTGATCTGTCGTCCTTGCCCTGCCTGTCCTAATATGACACTTCATTTCTTTTTACCCAAATGAAGAATATGGCATGAAGACCAACTTTAAAGATACTCAACTTAAAACGTGAATATGAGTATATCTACATTTTAGCTCATTTTCACATGACATGCTTTTACCTCTCATCAAATAAGGAACCCTTTCTCCATATCTCATACCCACTTAATTAGATTTACATTGTGGTAGAGCCCATAAGGTTCAGTAATTGGAAGGTGAAATTGGTTCTGATTGCTGGGCAAAGTCAATAAGTTGATGGAGAGCGAGCTCCTGGGAGAGGTTGTGGTTTGCTGTACTAAGCACATAATCTGGTGGCTGATAAAGCTTTCAGAGGTGATTTGTTCAGTCCTTTTCCCCCAGTAAACCTGTTAACACCTCCATGTATTATAGTATTTGTTGTGCTGTTATGTCCTTGAGCGATCAATCAGGTCATTAGATTGAATCAAAGATTGGTCTCTTTGTTCTTACTTTTCTTCAATACTTAGTCTGCTCGCTGAATTTCAATACAGAGAGAGAGAGACGGTGCTTTTGTCCTTATAGTAATGATATCTACTATTGTTTTGTTGTCAGGAAGAACCCCTGAAATGCATATTATTGCAAGTTTTCCTCTGTGTAATCCAAGTTAGTTTGAAATCCGAAAAACTTCTGAGCGATGCACATTGGTGCATTGTTCAATGTTCCCAAAAAACAACTTATCTTTTTCAAAATTACTGAAACAAGTATGAGTGTTTTGAAGAGTGCTGGATTTATCTCAGCCCCCGCAGCAGTTGTGGTGTCAAGGGAAATGACGTTGTATTTTTCAGTCTCGTGGAAAGCAGAGAAGTTGGGAGAGAATCGACTACATTGCGTCTGTCAACAATTGATCTATATGTTGTCGACTGTTTTTCCCCCACTGGTTTGATAGAGACAGAAGGAAATATTAGAAAACATGGGGAAATAAACAGGAATGACGTTATAACCTGATATGAACCAGGGACCTGTGCAGGGATAGAGTGATTGAACCATGAGGATGCCCTGAAGTGATGTTAACCTCTAACTATAAGAGGATAATCTATAGAAAATGAGGAATTAGATAAATATTCTGTCACCGTTTAGATGATTGAATTGGTTATTTCCGTGATTCACAGTCATATTGACCTCAAATAGTTTTTTAATGGATTGTGAATTGACCTGTACTCAGGTTCAATTGCACTGAAAAAACATTTGTCTATGGCGGCTGTTCTTGTGTTCTTTTGTCCGGCACAATATTGATTTGTCCTCCTCATTAAGACACAGGTCACGGTGAGCGGCAGGACCCCCATACATACCCTCCACTACTTCACACACAATGAGACTGCGCTTGCGAGCAGTTATGCCTCCCCACGCTCGCCTATAATGGCCATAACCTTCGCTGCCTTAGCCGCACAAATTACACTGACACCCATTCTGGAGAATTGCCCCCAGACTTGGGATTAGACCAGAGTTGGGTATCCTTTTAGATTGTATTGATTTAGACGCTTATAGATTCTGGTTTTTATTGTATTGCGTTTGAGATTCTTGCCATATTAACCACTAAAAGAAACTAAATTGAATGGAAAGCTGGAGGCAAACCACCTGTAATAACAGCATATTTTAAAGAAGTTATTACAGTAGTATCTGTAATTTTTTGATGAATAAAGGGATAAAATTAAATGGATTATAATTATTCTCTCCCCTGTAACATGTCAGTTGAATATACTCTATTGTATGTGTTGTAACTTGTTTAATTGAGTTGAATTACCTGTCTTTTCACATACACACTGATATGACTATATGTTCTATAATGACAACTAGCCAACTTCAAAATTAAGCCATAAATATGTTGAAGCAGTGTTTTTCATATCTATTCTTATAGCAAAGAGCTTCAGGCAGGTATACCAGCCTTTTATGCATCATTTATATTAATAATAAATATCATATAACCAAAGCCCTAGGTGGTTTCTACCATGCAGGTGGAACTGCTTGCCATTCATCCTTGTCCAACACCAGTCACTCCCCTCCCTGACAGGCTGACGAGTAGTAGCCAGCCACCAAGTCTACCAGTAATTGAAATTCCCCAGCAGCGTTGGCGTGGGTGTGTGTTGTCGTTGTCGTTGTTGTTGGGCTCTGCGGGTTCTGTTGTCTGAGGGTAACATGTTCGGTGTCAGCGCTCACACATGTTATGCCACTCAGGGGGGAACCACAGTTAAGGTACAGGGGAAAGCGGCACACACACACACACACACACACACAAGGGGGATTATGGTTTTTAGAAGCATGCACAGCAGCGTGTTTGAGATTTTATAATCAGCTATTAGACGGATAGCATAACGAGGATGATCACTAATTGAATTATTAACATTTAAATGAGGCGTAGATTTTTGGAAAGTTGTATTTTTCATTTTTCATTTCATTGCTTTTGGTGAGTATGTCTGCTTTATCAAATGAAGGATAATTTCCTGGATCACAGTGGCTATAAATAACAGGATCAAGCTTGACAAATTAACTCTAAAAAGAAAAGAATGGAAAATGTATCAACCTCAACATGCATGACAGCCAATAAAAGACTCCATCTTCTCATCGTGTGGTCATTCCGGGGGGTTTGTTGATGAGTCGATAGCCTGGTTTCAAAGAACTGATTGGTGGCTTCCTTGAAATAATTACTTTCAAATAAATCATTCATTACAGGTCAATTAGTGCAATAATTGCACAACAGCCTCAATTAGGAATATATGATTCTACAGAGGATACCAGCTGAAGACAAAGCAGACGAAAGCGTATGAGCGCTACAAATGTAATCTTGTCTTTATGTACTGACATATAAGGAGTATTGACAGAGACATACGAGCACAAAGCATGAACGAGTCACGTAACTCTTTTATTCACAGTCTAAATCCATCCGTCAGTCCACACATCTGTGTTTTAATGAAATCATAGACTTCCGTTGTTCCCTCTTTTGATTTTCAGCAACACTGCTCCCCGCGGAGGCAAACTGGTCCAGTTGGCCAATCAATCAACGGCCACAGCGTCTCACCTAGACACAGGCTCTAACCCCCGAGGCAGACTTTTCAATCAAACCCAGAGTCATCAATCTTTCCTCGCTCCAAACAGTGGCCTGGGTGGGGTCTATACCTGGCGGCGGTGATTTTGTCTACTGTTGTCAACTGGTCCAAAACACTCAGATCTTACATTTACTTTGGTCTTTTTTTTTCTAATTT